TAAGCCCAATTATTATATAGACTTAGCAGACTGTAGTTGGGAATATGCATATATATGATATGTGTGTAAGTATGTATTGTATATGTATGTGTGTATGTATATCTCAGAAGTCATAGGGAGCAAATAAACAATAGAGATCTGATAAAATGCTACAAAATGAACAAAGTGACAGGAATTACTACACAACGTATGATAATGTTATAATTATCACAATAATTATAGTGATAACTGAATATAAAAAAGACTAATAAAATGAATAAGAAAGTAATGTCCATCTTTTGGCTACCCCTAGAAACATACTCAAACACCAGTAATAGAAACTTCCTTAGGGTAAAAGCCTGGAGAAAGATATTCTAAACAAATAGATCTAAGAAACAAGAAGGTGTAGCTATTCTAATATCAGGAAGATAAATCTGAAAGAAAATCTAATTAAAAGAGATAAGGAGGGACACTTCATACTTATTATAGAAAAAATGTCTAGCAACAAGATATTTTTATTGTAAACACATCTATACCAAACATGGGCACTCAGCTTCATAAAAGAAACACGATTAGACCTAAAACTACAGATTGACCCTTCACAGTCATAGTGGGTGTATTTTTCTGCATTCTCTAAATGAACAGAACTGAAAAAATGAAAGCATATATATACATATGTATATATATGGGGTTTATTAGACTGACTAAAAGGATGCAGTCTGCATCATCCAACAATAACTGTCTCACATGGGAGAAACCAAAAACACAATGGTTTCCAAACTCATGACTCTGAATCTCTCTGCAGTCCCAATCTGGCATTTAGAAAACACCTCAGAGATTTCACCAGAAAATTTCTACAACTGACAAACATTCAGTAAAGTAGAAGGGTACAAAATTAACACACAAAAATTAGTAGCCTTCCTATATTCCAAAGACAATGCCAGATTTAAACAATACCTATTCACAAACTCAGACTCACAGAACATACTAGAAGGAAAACTCCAACTCCAGGAAGTTAGCTGCACCCACAAAAACACAGGCAACAGATAACATCACACCTCACACCAGCAAACCCCAAAGAAGGGAAACACATAAACATTACTACAGAAAAACAATAGGAATGAACAATCACTGGTCATTAATATCTCTTAATATCAATAGACTCAACTCATCTATATAAAGATAAAGGCTAACAGAATGGATATGAAAACAGTATCCATCTTTCTGTTACATACAAGAAACACACCTCAATCTCAAAGACAGACATTATCTCAGAGTAAAGGTTGGGAAAAGATTTTCCAATCAAATGGATCTAAGAAACAAGTGGGTGTAGCTCTCTTAATATCTAACAAAATAGACTTCATACTAAAATCAATCAAAAGAGATGGAGAAGGACACTTCATACTCATCATAGGAAAAATCCATCAAGATGCAGTCTCAATCCTGAACATCTTTGTGCCAAATACAAGAGCACCCACATATGTAAAAGAAACATTACTGAAGCTTAAATTGCACATCAAAGCCTAATACACACTAATAGGAGTCAGAGAAGTCAAGGACCCCACAAGAAAATCCACAGAAGCAACAACTTACTTGGGCTCACAGGAGCTCAGAGACTGAACTAATAACCAGGGAGCTTGCATGGGTCTGACCTCTACATATATGTTACAGTATGTAGCTTGGTCTTCTTGTGGAACTCCTGACAGTGGTAGCTGGGGCTGTCTCTGACTCTTGCTGGGACACTTTCCCTCATCCAGCTTTAATACAAAGGGAGGTGCCTAGTCTTACTGCAACTTGATATGCCATGTTTGGTTGATATTCATAGGATACTTGCCCTTTTCTGAATAGAAATGAAGAAGTATATGGGGTGTGGGCAGGGCAGAGGGCAGTTAGTTGGGAGGCAGGAAATGGGAGGAGAAGAGGGAGGGGAAACTGTGGTCAAGATATAAAAAAAATCCCTCCTGTAGAAAATTCGATCAGAAAGACACTAATTACCTCATAACAATCATGCCACTGTAACATCAGTGGGCACGCCTTGGCCGGCAGGTCAGTTTTGTAGCGTGCAGGGTTGAGAACTGGGTAACATCATTAATGATTTCTCTGCCTTGAAGCCCAAGTGCTGTGTTTCAGCAACAGGGTCTTACAATGTAGTTGTAATCAAGGGTAACGGCAGTAGCCTGTGTTGTTGTGCAGACTTCTGGAGGCTCTCTGACCAATAATTTCTAGGAAAGTATATGATGCCCTCCTTGCACTGTGGCTTTCACACGGTAGCTTGTATCTCCTGGGAGTAGTGTTGTCTAAATGCACAGGGTGCCTCTGTTCAAACTTCCTGTTGTTTAAAGTTGTATTTTGAAATTAGTTTGCTAACTTGTGGATTTCTGTAAGATTTCTCTTATATCCTTAGTTTTGATTTTCATTTCCCAGATGACTAAGGATGTTGAGTATTACTTTAACCACTTCTTAATCACTTGAGTTTCCTCTTTTGATAATTCTCTGATTTGATCTGTGCCTAATTTTTAATTGCATTGCTTTCTTGGTGTCCAACTTTTTAGTTTCTTATATATTTTAGGTATTAGCTCTCTATCAGATGTATAGTTGGTAAAAATCTTTTCCCAGTATATAGCCTTTTGTTTTGTACAAACGATGTCCTTTGCCATATGGTAGCTTTTTTAGTTTCAGGAGTTCCCATTTATTAACTGTTGCTCTGAGTGCATGTGTTATTAGTGTTCTGTTCAGAAAGTCTTTTTCTGTCTAATGAGTTCAAGGCTATTCCTCACTTTCTCTTTGGTCAGGCTCAGTGTATCTGGTTTTATGCTGAGATTTTTGATCTATTTGGAGCTGAGTTTTTAATTAATTTATTTATTTAAGATTTCTGTCTCTTCCTCGCCACCGCCTCCCATATCCCTCTCCCTCCCCCAATCAACTCCCCCTCTCTCTTCAGCCCGGTTTGATCCCATGCTCCATCAGTTCCAGTCCAACTGGCCTTGGTGATCTCCCATTAGATCAGTCCCACCGTCTCAGTGGGTGGACGCACCCCTCGCGGTCCTGACTTCCTTGCTCATGTTCTCGCTCCTTCTGCCCCTCATTTGGATCTTGGGGGCTCAGTCCAGTGCTCCAATGTGGGTCTCTGTCTCTATCTCTATCTCCATCCATTGCCAGATGAAGGTTTTATGGTGATATGCAAGATATTCATCAGTGTGGCTATAGGATAAGACCAGTTCAGGCACCCTCTCCTCTGCTGCCCAAGGAACAAGCTGGGGACATCTCCTTGGACACCTGGGAACCCCTCCAGAGTCAAGTCTCTTGCCAACCCTAAAATGGCTCCCTTAATTAAGATATCTACTTCCCTGCTCCCACAACCACCCCTCCTCCATCCCAACCATCCCATTCTCCCAAGCTCTCCCCATCCTCCCCTTCTCCCTTCTCTCTCCCCATCTCCCCTTATTCCCATCCCACCCAACCCCCGTGCTCCTAACCCCTGTCCGGCAGTCTTGTCCACTTCCTATATCCAGGAGGATAACTATATGTTTTTCTTTAGGTTCACCTTCTTATTTAGCTTCTCTAGGATCACGAATTATAGGTTCAATGTCCTTTATTTATGGCTAGAATCCACTTATGAGTGAGTACATACCATATTTATCTTTTTGGGTCTGGGTTATCTCACTCAGGATAGTGTTTTCTATTTCTATCCATTTGCATGCAAAATTCAAGATGTCATTGTTTTTTTTTTACCACTGAGTAGAACTCTAAAGTGTATATGTTCCATACCTAAGAAGGTATCCATTCTTCTATTGAGGGGCATCTAGGTTGTTTCCAGGTTCTGGCTATTACAAATAATACTGCTATGAACATAGTTGAACAAATGCTTTTGTAGTATGATTGGGCATCTCTAGGGTATCTTCTCAAGAGTGGAATTGCTAGGTCCTGAGGTAGGTTGACTCCCAGTTTCCTGAGAAACTGCTACACTGATTTCCAAAGTGGTTGCACAAGTTTGCATCCCCACCAACAATGGATGAGTGTTCCCCTCACTCCACATCCTATCCAGCATAGCCTATTATTGGTGTTTTTGATTTTAGCTATTCTGACAGGTGTAAGATAGTATCTCAGAGTTGTTTTGATTTGCATTTCCTTGATCGCTAAGGAGTTTGAGCATGACCTTAAGTGTCTTTTGGCTATTTAAACTTCTTCTGTTGAGAATTCTCTGTTCAGTTCAGTACTCCATTTTTTAATTGGGTTAATTAGAGTTTTAATGTCTAGTTTCTTGAGTTCTTTATATATTTTGGAGATCAGATCTTTGTCTGATGTGGGGTTGGGGAAGATCTTCTCCTACTCAGTAGGATGCCTTTTTGTCTTAATGACAGTGTCCTTTGCTTTACAGAAGCCTCTCAGTTTCAGGAGGTCCCATTTATTCACTGTTGCTCTTATTGTCTCTGCTACTGGGGTTCTATGTAGGAAGTGATCTTCTGTGCCCATGTGTTGTAGACTACTTCCCACTTTCTCTTCTATCAGATTCAGTATGGTCAAATTAATATTGAGGTCTTTAATCCATTTGGACTTGAGTTTTGTGCATGGTGATAGATATGGATCTATTTTCATTCTTCTACAGGTTGACGTCCAGTTATGCCAGCACCATTTGTTGAAGATACTTTCTTTCTTCCATTGTATACTTTTAGCTCCTTTGTCGAAAATCAGGTGTTCATAGGTTTGTGGGAAAGTTCAAAGCACTAAATGCCTACATAAAGAAGCTGGAAAAATCCCACACTAGTGAATTAACAGAACATTTGAAAACTCTAAAACAAAAAGAAGTAAACTCACCAAAGAGAACTTATATGAAATGGGATCTCTGGAAAAGTTTTATTCATGATGTCACATTTGAAAGTTTCTTAGAATTTTCTTTAGGTTATTGATGCCTGGAGACTGGAAGTAGCAATAGCCTGTTGGAATAACCTTTTTATTTCTGATCAGAAAATCAAAACCATGCCCACTAAACACACATTCCCAGTAAAATTAACAGCCAAGGCTCCAGAACCAATTTAAGGATATCTTTATTTACAAGATACAAACGTTTCATATTTAACAAGAATTGAAGGACTTAATAGTACAATGTTTTCGATTATCTGCCTTTATGATTAAATATACAGATGTTACACTATATATACACTATGTCCAAGTATTTTACATTCATACCACTGGAAAATTGGGTGTTTATTTTTTCACATTAGAGTCAACTATAATATTCTGATATGCCCTATCAAACTCAGTCAACAAGTCAAAAGAAAAATCAAGATAATACTTACTTTTTAAATAACAGTTATCTCTTAAAAAATGAAATACCAGTTTGGTTTTATATATGAATGGATATATGATATATTTGAGTCCTCATATACCATAATATACAATGCAATCTGTCATCACAATGGGCTCTACGGTTTGTTTGTTCCCAAACTTGTCTTTACTTTGTATTTAGTATTCACCTATTAAAATATATTAACATATAACTTAATATTTTATTCAATTGACTAAAATGAATTTTAGGACAAAAGATAACCTTTATGTAATGCCCCCCAACAAATTAACTGTCTTATAGAAGCCATGTGTTATTTTATCTTGAAATATAGAAAAGACACAGCATTTGGCCATGCCCTTAGCTTAGAAACTTGAATTTAGAATCAATGCCAGAAGACAATCCTTTATAGAATAAAATTATCTCTTAAAAGCTTAAGGAAAAATAAAGTAATAATAAGATAGTGTCATCTATAATTTAGAGGCTAAGGTTATAGCCTGGGTCCAAGGATTTCATCAACAAACAAGTACATGGATATCTTCTACTTGATTTCCCTTGTACAGTTTAGTGTTTTTATATGCTGCTCTTCCCTGGAGACCAGTAGTCCATTTACCCACATCCATTCATTCCTTGTTGTTTCCCTTGCTAACATCATTCCTCTCTATTTTAACAATGTAACAAAAGCATCATTGTCTCATCCTTAACTTAGCAAGATTGAGGGGCCTGAGTAAAGATGGATTATAACATTAAATACATGTGAATAATTCTTGTTAACATACTTAAATTAAAATTTACACAAAATTTTGTTCCTTTGGTGAGAATTGAAGAGTAATAACTTTTACATTTATACATATACATATAAAGTCACAGACGGGGTTTTTAGATAGGATCTAGTGGTCTAATGCTCTCCTTTTTTAAATCTAGGGAAGCTATAGTTCGATAGTTATATTAAAAAGTAATTTGATTCTAATAAAACTAAAAATGGAGAAGCTACAGGATCCACTCCAGATATCAACATAATCCCAACAAGAGGAACTCTTTAGCCACAGTTCTTGTATTCATACACTCTTGAAGAACACAACACTAAGATATTCTGTTTGTCAAATTTTAGATTATAAATACCATGTGCTTATCTTAGATCTATGAACATGAACATCAGTGATGTAAGAAAGTAAAGCTACTTTCTACTCTGTATAGCAGCAGAGATAACTGCCACAATAAGACCTGTGCTTCCTAGCCATTTATTTGTTCTCATTCGTGCTCATTTGTGATGGGAACACACTGCAGGGAGCTCATGATTAGCAACACATTGCAGACAAAATGCTCTGAGTAACTTAAGGCTTTAGAGATAAACGAACGATATCTGAAAATAATTGAAGGAAGAAACCATTTCTATCTCAACAAGGAGGAGAAAGAAGAATGGAATCATGAACTCCAGAAGTATTTTGGGGAGAAGTTTCTAGAAGGCATCAGTGACTCTTCAATAACCCTGAAGTACCATGGAATTGACAGTTGTGACTGCAACAAAGACAGCTTAGAAAATTCTACAGGAAACATTTACAAGGTTAATTCTTATAACTAAAAATAGTTGATGTAGGTCACCTAAGGAAGATAGTATGGCAGCCTTTGTGTTGAATTCAATTCACAGAAAACACAACACAGCTGATAAAACAGATCAGAAGAATATAACTGCTTCACTATTTGTATCGTTTGCAAAAATTCAACGGAGTTGACAGAATCTGAAACCATGGAACAATGCCCTCCCTTCTTCCCTTTCCCTGTGCTCAACAACTCCAATGACCACATCACTCCTAGGAAGTTGATTTTCTTAGGGCCTTCAACTCACACCTGGCGAGTCTCATTGCTTGGTACTACTACAACAGTGGCTAGTGGCATTTGTCATTATTAGACTCCATTTAAAACACAAGATAAAAGTATACACCACACCTCACAGTTCCCAGATGGTAGACTGTCAACAAAAGCAACACTTGAGTCGAAAGGGTGGAATGCCTTGAATGAATAACAGTTTTTACCAAATAAATATTTTCTTCAGTTTGAAAGAAGGACACTTTTCTGAAGACGACTTTTGAAAGCACTGAATTAGTGGAAACAACCAACTAAGAACCATGCAGAACATTTAGTTGGATAGGAGAGCAAAGGATATTTCCAGGCTCAATTTATCACGAAACCTCAGCTATCTCAGAAAGAGGGTTAATTATTCTAATAACCCCTCAAATTACAACTTTTTTAATCAATTTTTTAAATATATGTACACATGCATGTTATCCATGTTATCCACGCATGTGTTCACATAAACTTGGGCAGTTGTGCATATGTGTAGAGAACTGAGTTTTACGTCATGTCATGGCACCGCTCTACCTCACTGAGGCAAGGTTTTGTGCTGTCCTTATACTCTCTGCTTTTGCTCTTCTGGCTAGAGAACTTACACCAGGGTTGCCTGCCCCTGCCGTGCTGGGCCATGCTCACCTAGTCTGAACCTGCACCAGAGTTTCCTGCCCTTGTCCCTGCTGTGCTGGGCCATGCTCACCTCGCCTTGGTGTGCGTTCTGGAGAGCTGACTGAATTCTGTTTCTCATCTTTGCAGAGAAGCCTCCTTAGCCCCAGAGTTGCGGTTTTAAGATGTAACTAATATTACTCTATCACTTTTCTTCTCCTACTGAAATTATTAGGGATTTTCTTGAGAGCGAGATGGGACAGCTGCTCACTGTGCTTGGCTAAGAGTACGTACAGGCAGAGCAGTTAAGGTGGTGACTGAAATGGCCACAGCCCTTCTTCTGGAACTAACACTCCTTATTTAATGAAAAATAAGAGCATGCTAACATCTTCTTTATGAGTATTCTTTCAATAATCTAAGTTATGCAACACCGAGCATCTATCCACATTACTTCTATACAAGAATTTTCTGGTAGTTAAACATGTAGTCTTCTTGCTGATCAAATATATTTTTTAAGTAATCTGACATAAATCTTCTAAGTGGGATATCCCATTCATTCTTCTATTCATATTTACAAAAGTAATCTTTATTTTGATAGTCATTCTACAATCTCACTGCTTCTCTTTTCTTGAGCTATGAAAAGTAAAGTCAGGGGTCGAGTTATTGCTTCATTCTGCCAACAGGTGCCCTGCACACCTGCCTCTTTTTCTCCCACCCAAATGCAGCACCAATGTTGACAACCAGAAAAGAGAAACGATGTACACTTTCTTTTTATTCGGGCCTCATTTAGTAGCGAATAAGAAGTTGGCTTTTTGTTTCTCCCATTGGTGGCTCTGAGTTGATGGTTTAATGTTAATAATCAGGTCTGGTATTTCATGGATGAAGGGAACCTAACTGGTTCCCTTGCTCCTTTGGAGTAGGAAAAAACAAGAAACCTTTCTTATGCATCATGAGCTGTTTAAATGTGTGGTGGCCTCAAGTGTAGCCCTTAAAGACTGTGTGTAGTGGAGACATTCTTGTGGATTCCTAGGAAATGGTACAGTAAAAGAGTTAAAGTTTAGAGTATGAAAAAGTGAGAGAAAACCTCTACTATGAGAAAAGTATTAAAGGTTAAAAATAGGCAATTCAGTCACAAACTAATGGAGAGTAGACTTTATAACAGACAGCCATAGTTCATCTGAGATTCCATGCAGGATAAAAAGAGAGAAGAACTCCACTTTCTCCAATGCTTCGCACCTCCTGGAAACCTGCGTGGACTCTGCAATACGGATTTCCGCTCTGTTTTCTAGCGCATGAGTCGGCAGGATTTTTCTCTACTCCCTATGTAATGATGCCTTCTCCCACGTGAGCTGGCACATGCATGGGCTGTGTTCTGTAACTGACAGAAGGAAGGCTCCCACAGCAGTCGTACGTGTTCATTCTATGTAGTCCTCATTTCCACTCACGATATTCTTATAGAGAGGAAAACATTAAACATGTTTTCCACATATCCCAGGTCTGTATACGGTTACATGTCTTACATAGTTCAAGCTTTAGTAAAAGGTTTTGTACGTGATGACATTAAATTACTAAGACAAGTATGTTATGGTAAAAAGTAAAATAATCCATACAATTTTTTATCTCAGTAACCAAAGTGCACTTAAGTTGAGAATAGTCAGAGTAGGTAAAATAATAATGTTTAGTTAACATTAACTAACCCCCCCATCTTTTATCTAAATAAGTATTAATAGCACCTTCTAAGAGAGGCACTGTTTTAAATAGGTACAGAACTAAAAAATAGTACTCTAAAAATACTGTTGGAATTCAGACTCTAGCCTACACCACATAAATTACTGATACTTTACTATAAAAATATCACTACATTTGGATTCCAATCAGTTAAACATAAATCACCAAAATTTTCTTCTTAAGTTTAGAACAGCGCTGAGTTCAGAGACAATATAGGTTTTACACTTAAAAAATGAGCTGGAGTGAAAACGGAACTAAAGCTGAAGAGAAAAGCTCACGTTCATACTTATTTTCAATACTCTATACAAGTAAATCGATTTCTATTTTAGATAGTTTATTATTAGGAGTAATTCTGCAAAAACAAGTATTATCTTAAGTCAAAAGTGGGAACATTAGCAACCTATCTTTTTTGTGTTGTATAAGAACAGACACAATTTCTGTAGCATGAGACTTACAAACTAGACACGTTCATACGATACTCTAAACTGTCCCTGTACTTTTTACCAAAGATCTCTTTTGGTTACACGGAGGTATATCCTTCCCACTGTTACAAGTCCTACACGTGAACAAGACATTGAAGGCCTTAAACGAAAGGCCCATTATAACCAGGTAGTGACGCAGTCAATTGACATCCGTTCCCCACCCCCTCAAGGTCAACATACATAATTAAGGAATAGCTTATCAAAAATGTTCCACTTGCCACATTATTTCAGAACTTCAACAGAAGAATGGCCCTGCACATTGATTTTATTAAGAGTATACAAACATATTTAAAAAGTCCCCAAAAGATGTGTTTATGAAACCACAGTTTTCAATGTAAAGTGCTAAGAGACGAGGATGGAGAGTTGGGGCGTCTTGAGCTATTTGTCTTACTTGAGACTCCACACTGGCAGCTGCTGGAGTTCAGCATTCTGACTTTCTCTTGGGTCCTGGGAGGTTGTTCGAGGTGTCTAGATGCTCACTTGGGTCGTCTGGTGTCTCCCCGGTGACAGCTAGAAGGATGACTTTCAGCCATTTCTGCTTCAGTTCCTCACTGTCGGCAGCAAAGCTGTGCACAGACTTGGACTGGGTCAGTTTGAAACTGTGTGGCAGATCTGCACTCTTTGGCATGTCGTCCACGATGTAGCCCAGGAGTGGTATGGTGGCCTGCGCTCTGACGTCCTGAGCAAAGGACATTGTACATATGAGTGTGCATTATATTGTTACAGAGTTACATGTGGTCCTTGCCACACAAAACTCTCTTTTGATACTGACCCCCAGGTCCTCACTCTATGGACTCTCTGGACTCTCTTTGGACAAAGAGTGATTTTAGTGACTATGGGGTCTGTGCTAATGCTGACGGAATAGAATGAATGTGGTTATAGCGTCTATGGGGTCCGTGCTAATGCTGACAGAATAGAATGAATGTGGTTATGGCATCTATGGGGTCCGTGCTAATGCTGACAGAATAGAATGAATGTGGTTATAGCGTCTATGGGGTCTGTGCTAATGCTGACGGAATAGAATGAATGTGATATTAGTGTCTATGGGGTCCATGTTGATGCTGATGGAATAGAATGAATGTGGTTATAGCATCTATGGGGTCCGTGTTGATGCTGACGGAATAGAATGAATGTGGTTATATTGTCTTTGGGGTCCGTGTTGATGCTGACGGAATAGAATGAATGTGGTTATAGCATCTATGGGGTCTGTGCTAATGCTGATCAGAATAGAATGAACGTGATTTTAGTGTCTATGGGGTCCATGCTGATGCTGATCAGAATAGAATGAACGTGATTTTAGTGTCTATGGGGTCCATGCTGATGCTGATCAGAATAGAATGAACGTGATTTTAGTGTCTATGGGGTCCGTGCTGATGCTGATCAGAATAGAATGAACGTGATTTTAGTGTCTATGGGGTCCGTGCTGATGCTGACAGAATGGAATGGATGGAGCAGAGTTGACACCCAGATGAGCCAGGAAGCGCTGGCGTGGCGCCTGCTCCTCTGCTCATCAGAGCCCGTGCACTTCTCCACTGAGTGAAGAGAGGAGACCGAGGTGAATAACAAACAGCTTCTTAATGTTTAAGCCAGCAAGCATTACTAAGAATTAATAATGCTATTGCCTTTAATGATTGGTTCAAGTTATTTATGAACAGGAAAAACAGAAAAGTAGAATAAGATGTATACCTTGGCATTTTTAAAGATTTTCTAAAAAAAAAATTACTAGTTCTTGATGTACGATGAAGCTCAAATCTGACAAATTTAATTCTTTATGTTTTCAAAGTGAATGGATGTATAGTTGGTTTATGTGTTGTTCACTTTCAAAGCTCGTGCTGGAAACTAAACTGGCATTAGAGTTGACCCCAGGGTCCAGCTTAGCTGTATATGGGTCATAAAAATTTGTTACTGAGTTTAGTATTAATTTAATCTTAATACAAGATTTATGTAAACTCTCTCTTCCTTTCAAGCTACTTTGTCCTTAGGTCTCGATCACTATCAACAACAAAACCAACCACATGACACATCCCCCGTTTCCCATTATTACACCAGTGTGCAAACGTCCCATGTTTCCCACCGTTACACCGCTGTGCAAACGTCCCACATTTCCCACCGTGACACCGCTGTGCAAACGTCCCACGTTTCCCACCGTTACACCGCTGTGCAAACGTCCCACATTTCCCACCGTGACACCGCTGTGTAAACGTCCCACATTTCCCACCGTTACACCGCTGTGCAAACGTCCCACATTTCCCACCGTGACACTGCTGTGCAAACGTCCCACGTTTCCCACCGTTACACCGCTGTGCAAACGTCCCACATTTCCCACCGTGACACCGCTGTGTAAACGTTCCACATTTCCCACCGTTACACCGCTGTGCAAACGTCCCACGTTTCCCACCGTTACACCGCTGTGCAAACGTCCCACGTTTCCCACCGTTACACCGCTGTGCAAACGTCCCATGTCTCCCATTGTAACACTGGTGTGTAAGTGTCCTGCGTTTCCCATCATTACACAGGCGTGCTCCCTCTTTACTTCACTTTCCTTCTCCTCACTTTTGTGTTCCTACTCAACTGACTTTTCCTCACTCACTAAATAAGGAAAAGAGACGAAAAGGGACCAACCATTTACCCAGTGAATAATATGCAGGTATAAAAAGAACCATCTGTTTAAATCAACCAAATTGGTTTTAGTTTTCATTATTTTTAAAAAATAGGACACAGTGATACTGCCTGAGCTCTTTTGTCTTCCTGAGGATCAGTGTCCCCGTGCCCCCTCTGTCCTGTCCATGTCAACAACACATACGTGGTTTAGTTACCTGAGGAGCGCCATACATGTACAGCACTAGGGGGTCTTGCTTGGGGATCACACACCATATTTTCTGCCAAGGTTTCGACTTCTCCATGTACTGGAGAAAACTGCACACTTCGCTATTTCCTGATACTTCTGCTGATTCAATCTAGAAAATACAATGGAGAGAAAGAATAAACACAGGATGAACCTGCCTTAAGGGAAATAGTTATAACGCACAGTATATTCATGTGACACGTCTTCCTGAGTCACCCTCCAAAAAGATAGATTTACATTTACTAGTTTTTCTCTATCATGAGATGAAAACCTATTGAAGTTATCTTTAACTCTCTGTATTACTAGACTTTGTCCCTAAATAGTCAGCATTTATCGACCATTTACCATAGAACTTCTTTTTGCTTGAGACGTGTATTGTTCTCACCAACACTGAGAAACTAAGTGTTTTCATTGTTTCTAAAGCTCAGAATTTTTAATCACATTCCCCAGGAATACAAATTTGGAATTTGGTGTGCCAGAATTTGGGCTCAGTCAGCCTGAATCAAGACACGGAACTTATGGCCCTAATGTTCCAATAAGGCAAGAGGAAAAAAAGCAAAAGGTGACCTTCAACCCTCTGTCCTCACAGGCTGTAACTAGAAGCTGTGACCTTCAGCCCTCTGTCCTCACAGGCTGTAACTAGAAGCTGTGACCTTCAGCCCTTGGTCCTCACAGGCTGTAACTAGAAGCTGTGACCTTCAGCCCTCTGTCCTTGCAGGCTGTAATTAGAAGCATTTCACTAGAGAAACTTGTGAGGCAAAGGCTTTCTGCTTTGCTTACTAATGTGTTAGGTACTAGATAAATGGGAAACGAATATTTAACTAAGTGCTTAATAGAAGTAAGCTGCTTTCTTTCTATTACTCTGCAACAGCCTCAGGGCAGTGTTACTCAGCTTTATCCACAGGACACACACACACACACACACACACACACACACAAGTCTCTGTGGAGCCTTATTGTGCCAACTAATATGTGCTCAGAATATTAGTCAGCAAACTTTTATATAGAAAGTTGGAGCCTAAATCAAGGCTATAACAAAGGTAGTTACATAAAGAAAGCAAAAGAACAACCACCACAAAAAACCACAACCAACCAACCAACCAACAACACTAACCCCCCCAAACAAAACAACAAAAAAGAAAACAAACAAATCCCCACTAAGTTTTATTTATAAAATTAAAAATACTTTTTCATATGTAGCCTCTTACATCATATGGGTCTAGCACTAAAAATGTGAGTCATTGGGGAAATGTAACATTTTCTTCTCAAATTCCTCAAACTCTAACACACAAACCAGGCACGGTGCTGTGTGCTTGTGTCCCAGTACTTGGGAGGGGATGGGAAAAGGATCAGAGGTTCGAGGTCACTCTTGGCTTTGGGAGACACTCTCTCAAAACAACAGCAGCAGCAGCAGCAACAACAACAATAACAAAACAGCAAAGGAAAAGCCATTCGTTTCCTGATGGTACTTGTAGTTAATCCTGACTGTCAGCCCAAACAGACCTAGTATTACTCTGGGCAGGGCACCTTGGACATTTCCAGGAATCACTGAACTGAGAAGACCCTTCTTAGATGGGCAGCACCTCAGACACCCCGAGGCCAGAGGAAAGGAGTGCTGCTGAAGGCACGTCTCCCATGGTTGTTGCTGTTGTCATGTTTTGACTCTGGAATCTAGCTTCTTGGCTTCTAACCTGAGAAGAAGAAGATCAGCAACTTTCCAAGAATCGTTCAGGCCTCCAGTGCCAGAGTGGGATGGTTGAGGCAGTGAACTGAGCAGCTATGAGGTTCTCTCGGCCTCTTCCATATACAGATGGCTCTTGTTGGACTACCCAACCTGTATTGTGTTCTACACATTTATTTTACCAGCTCTGCTTCTCTAGAGCAGTGGTTCTCAACCTGTGGGCTGTGACCCCTCTGGGGGCTGAACAACCGTTTCACAGGGGTTGCCTAAGACCATCGGAAAATGCAGATATTTACATTACGATTCATAATGGTAGCAAAATTACAGTTATGAAGTAGTAACAAAAATAACTTCATGGTTGGGGTCACAACAACATGAGCAACTGTAGTAAAGGGTCGCAGCAATAGGAAGGCTGAGAACCACTGCAATAAAGAACCCTGCCTGAGAGGGCAGTGATGTTTGGGATATGATCAAGGTGTGGCCCTAGGTAGTTTAAGAAACATCAACCAAATGACAATCTGCAAGTCAGCTCCAGTTCAGCACTGTTTTGTACGTCCCATAAGCTAATAATTTAACAAACAAACCAACTTGATGATAGGAAACATTGAGTAAGGTACCATCCTCCCTCAAAAAGGTTAGTTCTGAATAACAGGTCCCGATTACAAAAAATTCATATACTAAAACAATGTATTTTGGAATGTCCCCCCCCCCCAAAAAAAAACCCAAAACACCTGAACAATGGTGCAGTGGTTTGAAAGGACAGAAAGAAGCTTACAGGGTTGGGGAGATGGCTCAGCAGGTGATGCTTGCCCTGCAAATAAGAGGACAGGAATTCTTGCCCCAGAAACCCATATAAATGCAGGTAGGTATGGTGACCTGCCTGTACGCCCAGCCTCGGAAGATGGAGACAGAGGACTCCCAGGAGCAGGCTGTTCAGCAAGACTAGCCACATCATACTTGTGAGCTCCGGGTTTGTTTGAGAGGCCCTGCCTCAATGACTACAGTGGAGGAGCAATTGAGGACAGTTCCTCATGGCAACCTTAGGCCTACATATGTGCGAACACTCATGTGCACATACACCTCAAAACGTGTGTTCACACACATCAAGAACTTGCAGAGACACAAACACTACAGAAACATACAAAATGTGGAAAAGAATGTACAAATACATTGAGTTAAACACTTTAAGTTTTGCTGATAAAAATTTGCTTTCTCCCTTAAGAGACCTCTGTAAACCACTGCTTTGGCCTCTTGGCCTGTAAATGTGTTTCCTCTGATCTGCTCATGAAAGGCTTGGCCTCTGTTCTAGAGTGTACAGTACACAGGCTGGGGCAGGAGAAGGGTTTAGACATGCTCTATGTGTGCGTGGACATGCTGAGTTTCTACCTCCAAACACTATATTTTTTGTTTGATTACACGAATTAACCCAATTGATTTTTCCCCAAGCATAAGGTTTTCTAAAAAGTTAAATTTTTATTTTATAAAAGCAGCCTAAACCTTTTCTTTAAGAAACACAGCATCAGGCTCACTCTACTCTGTCACACTAGTCAGTTACTTCTACTAAAGCCTTGAGCTTCTGGTCCTGGGACCCAAAGAAGAACATCTTCTCATTCTTCCTGCCCATGAATGCCTCAGGTTTATGTAATACCAGTAATGTCTATATCCTAAGAGAATTTAGACTTACAATTTTAGCTTGTGGGCTCACAATTTAACCTCAAATGGACATTGAAGTTTAAGCTCCTTTCTCAGTTGGCAAATGACTTTTATATATTTTCTTATAAATGCTCAGTACACAATTACTGATTTTTTGGCATTATTAAACTAAGCATATTTATGACTTTGGATGTAAAAAATTTAATTGTATCTCTAGGTGACCTCGACCTCACCACCACAAGGCTTTATTATACAAATTACCCTTATTGAACTAACTGGGGACCTTGGCTTGGGCATCTGGGAGCCACTCTAGGTTCAAGTCTCTTGCCAACTCTAAGGTGGCTCCCTTAACTAAGAATTGTGCTTCCGTGCTCCCCTATCCAACCTTCCTTTATCCCAATCCTCCTTTTTCCCCAAGTTCCCCCCATTCTCCCCTTCTCCCTTTTCTCTCCCCATCTCCCCTTACCCCCATCCCACCCCACCCCCAAGATCTCAATTTTCTCCCCGGCCATTTTGTCTACTTCCCATAGCCAAGAGGACAACTATATGTTTTTCCTTTGGTTCACCTTCTTACTTAGCTTCTTTGGGATCACCAATTGTAGACTCCATGACCCTTGTTTATGGCTAGAAACCAATTATGAGTGAGTACATCCCGTATTCATCTTGGGCAGCTGAGGATAGGGAACCTGAAATGACCCTATCCTATAGCAATACTGACGAATATCTTGCATATCATCATAGAACCTTCATCTGGTGATGGATGGAGATAGAGACAGAGACCCACACTGGAGCACTGGACTGAGCTCCCAAGGTCCCAATGAGGAGCAGAAGGAGGGAGAACATGAGCAAAGAAGTCGGGACCACGAGGGGTGCACCCACCCACTGAGACAGTGGAGCTGATCTACTGGGAGCTCACCAAGGCCAGCTGGACTGTGACTGAAAAAGCATGGGATAAAACCGGACTCTCTGAGCATGGCGAACAATGAGGGCTGATGAGACGCCAAGGACAATGGCACGGGGTTTTGAACCTACATAATGTGCTGGCTTTGTGGGAGCCTAGCCAGTTTGGATGTTCACCTTACTAGAAATGGACGGAGAGGGGAGGACCTAGGACTTACCACAGGGCAGGGAACCCTGACTGCTCTTTGGACTGGAGAAGGAGAGGGAGAGGAGTGGGGGGGAGGGGGAGAAGGGTGGGAGGAGGGGGAGGGAAATGGGAGGCTGGGAGGAGGTGGAAACTTGTTGTTTTTTTTCTCCTTTTCTCAATAAAAAATGGAAAAAAAAACAAATTACCCTTATTTTGTCAACACATCTTTCAATGTAGATCAGATACAAACTATTTTAGTCTGAATTAACTCTAATAAAAAATATGAGTCAAACTTACTGGAGATGGGCTTTGACAGCGATATGGTCATGAAACTGTTGCCCTGGCTATTACATTACCACAAAGAACCGATCTTTTAACACAGCAAGCTAAGTAGTGTTTTAGGAAATAAAACAGTACTTTATCCAAATTTAAAAATTTTCATGCAATGGTTTTCAACATTAATATATGATGAAATCGAAAGCTTTCCATGAAGAAAACATGCACGTGTCTGAACATCTCACTTTCTATAATCAGGCAAGAGTCCAAGGCCAACAAACTAGAGCAAAAGCGTGACTCTTGCTCCCTGTTAGCCTGGTGCTAATGCAGCGAGAATAAGCACGCTGTCTGCGCTCCTTATGGCCTAGACGGTGTTATCTGAGAATACAAAGCATGGACCGAGTGTACCTCCAGAATCCCCTTTCTCTTCTTCTCTTCACTGTCTGTGAATCCACTTATTATTTGGTAGCAGTCTTTACAGACTTTGTTCAGTCTCCCACCGTCGTACTCAAGCTGGGCTTTGTAGTCAGAACATTTCCAGCAAACCACCTTTAATTTTATAAAAGGAAATTCAAAATGAATGAGTAGACTTAAGAAGATTATAGTCAGGAAATAGTCATCCATACACAAGAAACTTAATTACAAAAGTTACATTTTTATTAGCCTAAGAACATTTCAAAAGATGTTAAATATATTAAAATATTTTAACGATGTATGTGCCCGAATCTGAACATGACTTTGACCTCTAAAGGTCCCTGGCCCTGGCTGTATCATCATCTGTCTGTCTCCTCTCATTGTCCCTCTTCTCACAGGAAACAGCACAGCCATCTCATGGCATTCAGGGAATTTCCAGACTATTCACCTGCCTTCACAGATGCATCATCTTGTGTCCTGCTGACTTTAACTGCTCAAGGTGTGTCTTCAATCTGTTTTTTTAGTACAAGTTATTAGCACTCACATTTGAACTCTTATAGCCTGGCTGGTTCTCCCTATATCCTTCATCCTAACATGCTACAAGAATCTATTTTCCAAATAGTGGCTAAAGGGCTCTCTTTAGGTATGCGTTTGTCACTCAGGATGCTGACTGACAGCTGCCATGCCACCGCGGGAAAGAGCCGATACCATAGCAGTAGATTTGCTTACCCATCCTCTTCTCAGAGATCAGACAGAATTAACTCCACGGTGCCTCACTTCCGTGCCAGAGTTTCTGTTTATTTTCTGAGCTCCACCCCTGTGAATACTGTTCTATTTGTAACATATACTCAGAAAGTCTCCTATTTCTCTCTGCATCTTAAAGCTCTTCTGGAACTATCACAGTAGGATCAAACTTTTTACTGTCAAGTAGGGGGTGATTGACCATTAGCTCAGCATCACTTCTGAGGACTTCAGCGCTGAGAGCTGGGCGTTTTGATCTTTGGCTCTTTTCTTGTTTTCAAAAAGCCCATTGCACTTTTGAGGCCTGCCATTGTCTCTTCCCATCTCTCACACTCTGCTATCATCTCAAGATCTCGCTAACTCAGTCTTTGTGACTTAGAACTTATAGGAAGGCGGAGGAAAAGATGCTGAGCTGAAATAGCTAGTGCCATTCTCAGGCAGTCTACTGGGGCCTTTTGTTCTTGGGGTCCGCCACTGACGATATGGACCATCACCAGGGACTTCGGTGCCAACTCCAAACACCTGCCCTTCATTCGCCAGGACGCCTCATATTTCTAACCTGCTTATGGTGGTCCATGCCCATGCAGCTTTGAACTCAGAAATCTTTTCCGTACACTAGCTCTCCTGCTTCCAATATTTAATCATGGCTTATCTAAGGCAGACACCTACAATTCTCCCTTGCTTTTCTCGTCACACTTACTCTCCATGAATCTTGTTCTCTGCCTTTTCTGACCTGCACGGCTAGATTCTATTATTAAAAAAAGAAATAACCAACTAACCAAACGGAAAGCCGTTGTGGCTAAGCTGACTCATATCTGTTTAGACTTCTAAGTAGAAACTTTCAAAGGGTAATGAGTCGGCCCGCGCCACTGCAAGGCTCGCTTTTCTCTGATGGATGAAACTATTTTACACTCAGTCGTCTTTCTCTACTCAGACAGCCCTGTCTCTTGCTTTCAGCTGATCATTCTGTCCAAGTCAATAAAAGGATAACACGGGCCTCAAACGCCCTCATTTCCCACTATTAACACGCTCCACACGGTAAAACCCCATCTAATTCCCTTCTCCATACTTGCACCTGTCTTTCCCTTCTGCTGAGAGAGAGGGCTTTGCCCTACCCTGCAAAGGCTGTGACTTTCTCTTCTGCTAAGAGAGAGGGCTTTGCCCTACCCTGCAAAGGCTGTGACTTTCTCTTCTGCTAAGAGAGAGGGCTTTGCCCTGCCCTGCAAAGGCTGTGACTTTCTCTTCTTCTGAGAGAGAGGGCTTTGCCCTGCCCTGCAAAGGCTGTGACTTTCTCTTCTGCTGAGAGAGAGGGCTTTGCCCTACCCTGCAAAGGCTGTGACTTTCTCTTGAACTCTGGTTTTCATCTCTTGCCTTTCCAACCACACTGATTTCTCTATTTCCACTCTAACTACATCTGTGCCACTTTTTTCCCCTTTGATGTTGCCTGGCTACAGGATTTCCCAGCATTTCAGGGCCGCCCCGCTCCAGGGCTGTAGGCACAGCTCCTTGTGTGCAGAGCACCTCTTGCTTCCCCTCTAAGATGAAGACTTTCTTCCCCCTTAGGCAGCTAAGCACATATCAGTCTCCCAGATAGGCCTTGTTGTGTCTCATTAGATCTGGTCTGAAAACCTCCATGACCAATACTTTCCAATTCAGTTTTCTGGCTGCTTTCTTAACCCACTCATACTAATTTGAATTTTTATCTATTTTCTTCTTCACAATGTAATCTCCACGAAGCCAGGGATCTTTTATTAACCATATTCTTGTCCCTCAGGAGACAGCACAGTACTTTGCACATCATTAGCTGCAAAACAGGCTTACTAAGTGAATGTCAGTGATTATTTGTTTCCAGGAGAATGAGTTCACTTCACCTACATAGTTACCATTGCCATAACAACCAAGAATCACACTCACGTGTCCACATGCCCGGCAGTGATGCCGCCTTCTTGTCAGGGCGTTGAAGGGCTCTTTGCACTTCATACACATCGTCACTTCGTTGTCACGTATCCATCTCGGGGCTCTCTTTCCTAGCTCGGCAGTCTAAACGGAAAGGCAGGGTGGAAACAATTACTATTTCTTTCTAGTAGCACGTTCCCAACGCTGCTCGCACCGCATTCTGATCCTCAAGTTCTAGGAGAGGAAGGGAAACTTTCAAAGCACTTAGGCACTTACCACTATACCCACCTCGGAGAGAATGACTATTTCTAAATCACCAATTCCGGCATTGCCAGGGAGGAGGTTTGGTAACAGAATGACTACAGAGGGCTTTCAGAACACACCGAGAGAGCATCTTAAAGCTAAGAACTTACAGACACTTCTAGGTGGATGTCATTGTCCTTTGCAATTGCATTTCTGAAGGTTTCATGCCTTTGATGAAAAGCATCGATACTCTCTTGAAGGGCCTAAAATATAAATTAAACCAAAACATACATTACAATATCACATATACATTAATAAGTATATTTTGTCACATAAATAATTTTAATGAGAATTTAAAGTTAAATGAACTTGTTTGTATAGTTTATATTTAAAAAGCCCAAATATTTTTCTTTTTTAAAATATATCTTATGAGTGTTTTGCCTGATGTACGTATTTTGCCTTCTCACAGAGGTGAGAAGAGGGCACTGCACACTTGGAACTGGAGTTAGGCATGGTTGTGAGTCACCATGTAAGTCCTGGGAACTAAACCCAGCTTCTCTAAGAGTAACAAGTGCAATCAACCACCAAGCTATCTCTCCAGGCCCTGATGCATACATTTCTTATGCACAGAAAAGGAAAATGAAAGTAAAAGAGTTACCTTGATCCATTCTTCTTTATCTTGTTCAGAGCTAAAAGAAAAACAAAACAAAAATGAGTGAAGAAAATATGAATTGCAATCTCTGAATGGAAACATGCTTTACCGTCACTCTGGATTCCCAGAAAACACAGGAGTGGTTTGGAAATAATTAAAGGGACTTTAGATCTTCTTGATACAGGATCAGACTGTTGCCTACCATTGGTACCCATTCATTCTGACAGCAAATCATGACATTAGCAATCACCCACCAGATGGTTCTGTATGCTTGACATACTAGAAAAATCAAAGGTAGTATTATAATTTTAAAAACACATGGCAACTAATAACCACTAACATCTCACCTTAGGACACATTATGCTTATTCTTATAATCTTAAAAATTACTGGAATCCATGCCCAGATGGACTCACAGCAGAATTCTACGAGACTTTCAAGGAAGAGCTATATGCAAATCTTGTTAAATTAGTAAGGCAAAACAAACACCCTGTAAATAGAAGGAGCACTTCTAGATCCCTTTTACAGAGCCAGTATTACTCTAACATCAAAACCAGATAAATAAACACAAAAGAGAAAACTATAGGCCAATATTCTTGATGAATACAGATGTAAAAATTCTCTCATGTAAATAAAATATAGTTATATATAAAAAAAGACAGCCCATCATGATACTGTTGGCTTTATCCCAGAGATTTAGGTTTAGATCAACATGCATCATCAATAAATGTAATAAATCATAAATGGACTTAAAGATAAAAATTGAATGTTCAATAGATGCAGAAAAAGTCTTCGACAAAATTCAGCATGTCTTCATGATAAAAGTCCTAGACAGAGTAGGACTGGAGAGAATATATCTCAGGACAATATAATATTACAAACCCACAGCCAGCATCCTAAGTGGGGAAAACCTCAGTGCAGGAATGAGACAGGCGTGGATAGCCACAAGTCTGGTTCCAGTTGAGAACCAGGTCCGTTCACTTTGCCTGGTAAGTTTCTCTTTCTGTCCTCATCCCTCACCACACCAGTCACCACATCCACACCCACAGTCTAGTTGCTCTCTATGGAACCATCCCTTTGATGGGTGAGACGCCGCTCTCCTCTCCCTTCCTTCTGTCTGTCTGCTGCCACCATTACACCATTGCCAAGCACCAGACCCATGGTTTGGGAGCCAACTTTGCCTTGTTCAACTAAACAGCTCACCCGCCACCTTTACTTGGGCTAGCTCCTGTCATATAGCTCATGCACTGGCACAGTCTAAGGAAGGCTACGTTCTCACATCAGCCACATAACCAAGAAAGGAGTCCACATGTCCAGGCCAAACTGCAGAAACAAACAAACAACATGAATGGTCAAGGCAGCATGACTCCTGCCAAATCCACTAGTCCTATAGAAGTGTTCTCTAATGAGAACTACCTCGATGAGTCCCCAGACTAGAATTTAAAAAAGACACTTCTTTGAATTCCAAGAGTATAACAAGAAATACCTGTGTCATGTCCAAGATACACATACACACTAGAGGATAACAACATATAACTGCATCATGAAATAAAACAAAATATACCTGTATCATGAAATAATGTTAAATGGACTCAGTAAGTTGTATATACGTTTGTTCATGCACACGAGCGCCCGCACACACACACACACCACACACATATTCATATATATACATATACATATGTATATACACATAACAATAGCAAAGAGGAGACCATGGTGAATTTGAGAGCACGGGGCATGGGAATAGTTTGACAGCGGAGGGAAGAGTATGAGCGATGTAGATATACTGCGATTTTAAAAAAACAAGAAAAACCCAGTCTTTGGGAATTTATGATTAAATTTTAGAAAAAGATAAAAGCAAAAGGTCTTTGAAAGGTCTTACATGTCCTTTGTTAAACAATTGTTTGCCTCTTCCTTAAAGGCTCAGGCAATACCATACCTGAACCATTACAAATGAAGGAGAACATCGAATACTTCAAATCATGCAGAAACGGGTTTCCCAGACTCATGGGCTGTAGAGTCTAATAATTTTCCTTGGGGGGAAGTTTACTTGATCATATTCAACTTCCTTTTTGCACACTAAGAAAAGATTGCATTTCCTCTCCCATGTAGGAAGCTTATATCAAACTTGGAACATCTCTTCAAGTGGATTCTTAATTAAGTCAGACCTTTTAATTGAGGGATTTTGAAGGCTATCCTCATTCCAACAGGTGTAAGTCTGCATGGTACTAGCAGGGTGGAAAGACAGGGGACCTTAAAGTGACATGTGCAGGAAAGCAAGCTTCTTATTGAAGCAAGCCTGGTTGAAATGTTTTGCCAGCAGAGAAGCAAGGATTCCAGAAAATCAGCTGGTGAAGGTCCTTTTCTCTCCCCACCTGCAAACCTACAATGTTCTAAGAATCACATAAAAATCCAGTTACAGGGAAATGAAATATCATGTACCAAATTCCTTGTGCAGCCTAGGTGCCTCTGACTTCATCAGATTATGATTCCATTCAAGTGATGTTTGAAGTTACCCTATGTCTCACTTATTATAAGACAAAGAAAGAAAAAAATAAAAATGCTTCTTACCACTTTCAAGTGGCAGAGAGAGCTAATGTTACAATACTTGGCTGCAAATCTCGCGTGGGAAGCCCATCCTTATGCTTGGTTGTCTTACTTTGTGCAACTTCTTTGAGGAGCCCATACCCGAGTGTGTCTCTATCATCTAATCTCCATTACTTTTTAAGAAACTCATCTCTGCTTTTTCTGGTTAGTCTTGAATCTCTTCTGGTTGAAGCAATGAGTCCCAGTGTTTGGTGTGAGCTGAGTGAGGTCCCTAAAACATTAAGAGGACTCCTCAGGCTGCTGAGAGTGACAGTATGGACCTGTGTCCCTGATACCCATCTTTCTGGCATTTATTGTTATTGAGCAGCATTATATTGCAGGCAATGCTGGTGGGAACTGTGCCGATCAGCATGGCAGACTCCACATTATCTCCCATAGGGAGCTCCAGTCGGCCTTGCTGTATTTCCCAGCTTTGCTGTTCTGGAAGCAAATTCATTTATCAGTCTTTTAAATGCAGACAAATACTTTAGTGTTTTGTTTTTTAAGTCAAGAAATATTTATTTACTTTTTATCAATTTACTTGCTACTATATTTAAATTTCCTATTTAGTAACTGAAAAATGACTGTCTAAAAACCAAATGAAATAGAAACTAACTATATGGAACCAATAATTTTTATCCTTTTTGTTTGCTTATAGCTACAAAATATTATAAAGTGTCAAATAAACAGATGAAGAATGCACTTCGGCTCAGTAAAGTCAATTAACTTCAGCAACCAGTTTATTTGAAAATCCATCTCATTTCTTTCATTGGTCGCATATTTTACTACAATCAAACTCATTTACTATACCTTCAGTGTGCAAGCTTCCTTCTTATTTACAAATATTTTGAGCCAGTTTTCATTGGTATAAAAACTCTGACTTTGAATCACCATTTTAAACAGGGGGTTTGATTTTAATATTTAATTTTCCTGAAGTGACTGTCACGTGTTCTGACTAGTGCTGTGTGAAATCTATTCTGTCTGAAACCACAACAGCTTTGCTGCTTTTGTCCTCACTTACACCCACTGGAGTGAGTGCCCATTGGACTGAGTGCCCATTGGACTGAGTGCCCCTTGGAGTGAGTGCCCCTTGAGTGAGTGCCCATTGGAGTGAGTGCCCCTTGAGTGAGTGCCCCTTGGAGTGAGTGCCCCTTGAGTGAGTGCCCATTGGAATGAGTGCCCCTTGAGTGAGTGCCCCTTGGAGTGAGTGCCCCTTGAGTGAGTGCCCCTTGAGTGAGTGCCCATTGGAGTGAGTGCCCCTTGAGTGAGTGCCCCTTGGAGTGAGTGCCCATTGGAGTGAGTGCCCCTTGAGTGAGTGCCCATTGGAGTGAGTGCCCCTTGAGTGAGTGCCCCTTGGAGTGAGTGCCCCTTGAGTGAGTGCCCCTTGGAGTGAGTGCCTATTGGAGTGAGTGCCCCTTGAGTGAGTGCCCATTGGAGTGAGTGCCCCTTGAGTGAGTGCCCCTTGGAGTGAGTGCCCCTTGAGTGAGTGCCCCTTGGAGTGAGTGCCCATTGGAATGAGTGCCCATGGGAGTGAGTGCTCCTTGAGTGAGTGCCCCTTGGAGTGAGTGTCCATTGGAGTGAGTGCCCCTTGAGTGAGTGCCCCTTGGAGTGAGTGCCCCTTGAGTGAGTGCCCCTTGGAGTGAGTGCCCATTGGAATGAGTGCCCATTGGAGTGAGTGCCCCTTGAGTGAGTGCCCCTTGGAGTGAGTGCCCCTTGGAGTGAGTGCTCCTTGGAGTGAGTGCCCCTTTGCACCCTTTTCTAGGTGGTGTCTATCTTTGATGGGAGATATGATTTTGTTGGCAGCAAAAAGTTGGAGTTTTCCATTCCATTCTGCATATATTATTGGGGGAAGTAGAACATTAATATTCAGAGTTATTATTGCATGGTATATATTAATTCTGGTTATTTTGTGTTTTATATTTTATTTTCTTAACACTCCTAGAGTTGTTTATTTTTCTCCTGTGGCATCTTAGAGGTGATTTTCCTCTTTAGTCTCACGTATTACTTTTAGCATACTGGGTTAAGCTCATAAATTCTATTTGCCTTTTTAAATTAGAACTTTTTCATTTAATTGGAAATAGATTCTATTTTTTCCATTTGCCTCCTTTTGTCATGGAAACTGTTTCCTTTTTCTTTTATTATATCAAATAGGTCTGGCTTAGCAGCTGCAGTCTTTCAGAACTTGAAATACATATTTTTAAGCTTTTTTCCTTTTAAGGATTTCTGTTGAATAATCAGCTATTACTCTAACTGGCCATCTCTTGCAGTTTTTGTGTCCTTTCTTGTCTTGCATGTTTGGCCACTTGGTTATAATGTGATGTGGGGGGGTATCGTTTGGTTTGCTCTATTTGGTGTTTTCTATGTCTCTTGTATCTGTACTAGTTTCTCTTCCCAAGATTTGCCTTTTCTTTATGATTTTATTGGGATGTTTTCTGTTTTAGACATATACTTCTCTGGCCATATTTTATAGAATTTTTTTTAGCTCTTTCATGCTGTCCCAAAGTTCTCCCATGTTCTACTAATTTGCCATTGTTTTTTAAATTATCATGGGTCTTGACTGACTGACCCAATCCTTGTCCTTGTCTTCAAGTCATGATGTGTTCTCTACATATTCCATTCTGCTCATTAAGTTCTAAGAAGACAGATAACACAAAGTGGACCCAATGATAATTTTTATAGACCTTTTCATCTGATACCATTTTGTTAGGGCATTTTTTTTGTCTTTTATTTGTATATTATAGTTTTTACTTTTTTAGGGTATGTGTGTCTCTGTGTATATTTCTTGTACTTTCTCCTTTTCAGTTTTTTAAATTCTGGTTTATTTACTTGTTTGTTGAGAAAGAGAGGGGGGGGGGAATAGAGTTGGTTAGGTGAGGAGGCCAGAAGGATCAGTGAGAGGAAACTGTGATGAGAACATAAGGTATAAAAAATTAACTTTAGAAAATTCTTTGTCTGGAAGTTATTCCAAATTGCTTTCATTGTTGGTCCTTACTATAGGACTGCTAGTTTTTTGGAGGGGATATGTAGGAGTTGGTTGAATTTTTATAAGTCTAAAAGGTTTATTTACTCATTATTTTATGCACCGTATATGTGCCCGAGTATGTTAAGTGATGTATTATGTCTGTGCAGGGCCATCAGAGGCCAGCTGTGAGCCATGGATGCTAGACGCCAAATCCAGGTCCTGGGAGCCAAACTCCAGTCCTCTGGAAGAGCAGCAAGTGCTCTCAGTACTGCATTCACCTCTCCTGCTTCCTTTTATTGTTTCAAATGCAGGTTCCCTTTCCTATCCTTGTGCTGTGTGGCCCACATTTCCCCTGCTGGTGTGCTGCCTCGCCTGCTGTGTCTGCTCCTGGGCTTGTCTTTGCAGCAATTTGTTATCAGGGAGAATTTCACATGGAATAATAATCATTAGGTGATGCTGTGGGAGGAGGAGGCATGGAGTCTTCCCACAGGCCTCAGGGCTATGCTGCAGCAGCGCTCTGCTTTAAGTGCCTTGCCCCTCTGGAATAACCTGACTGATGCCTACCGTATACACACCTCTGCCCTAGGCAATACAGGGATCAGAGGAAAGACATGATGCCTGTCTCAATGAACCCCGATTTCCACCTACAGCTAGTCAGATTTCCAGAGGTTTGGAGCATTCGCTGTGATAACAAATGACAAGAGCAACGAGGACCGCAGGGTCGTGTGCGACTTATTCTGAAGTTTGCTGAAAGCTGTGGTGGGAAGGCTCTCACCTGGCCTGCAGCTCCAGCGTTCTTTCTTTCCCAGACACCTGGAAAGTGTGTGGGTATTCTTCATTGTGAGTCTCCACCACTTTCATCCCGTCAATGCCGACTCTTGTTCGAACTGTGAATTTGGAGCCCACCAAGCTGAATCTGGGTACACAATACAGCAACATGTTGTTGAACTGCAAAGAGACAGAATAAAAATGAATGAACAGGAAGATAATAAAATAAAAGTCTGACTAATGTAACTCTGGGCAGAAATGCCACTGATTGTTTTTTTTTTTTAAAGAATATCTAACTTTTCTCTCTTTCTCTCTATTATCTCACTGTGGAACTAAGATAGGTCTTGAACTTACAATCCTGTCTAGACTCCCAAGTGCTGGGGACATAGGTGTATAGCACCACACTGAGATTTCCTTGGAATTCAATTAAATATTCATTGTAAAAAGGAAGAATAAATGACTACAGGGTGACTGAATTGTGAGACAAAATAAAATATTCCGAGGTCTGCTGGACAAAAATAGAGACTAATTTAGCATTTTTACAAGGTGGAACTTAAACCAAGGGACAAATGTAAGTAATCACTAGGCAGCAGGAGTCACACAAAATATCACGTATCTGACTACTTTCTTTCTCCATTTAATATACTTTACACTTCTCCCTGTTCCCAAAATCATCATTAGAACTTAATACTTGACGTGAGTTCCATTTTCATAGTATACTTTCCATTGCTACTCAAACTATCAGGAAAAGATGCAGCAGCAACAAACGCTCCTGCCACTGCTCAGACAACAGTGGCATTGCTGATACGGGGGTAACCACATGCTTTCTGATTGGACTTGGATTCTGCGAGAGGAAAATTTGTCAACAAAGCCATGTGGTACTCAATGACTGTTGTGTTGTGAAATGGACATGTTGTGTGTGAATCTGCTTTATAATCATTTATGCTCATACCATAAACAAAGGTTACTTTCATCCCTGATCCAAGAAGCTTCTCTTTGCAGTGAATGCAGAGATTCATGCCTGCTCAAGGTGTTGAAAGTAAGTGACCGTTGAGAGGTCAACTCTAAATAGACACCTGCATCCATCTCCTACTTCAAGGCCCAGGGAAAACCACAAAAGACGGAGAAAAGACTATGCAAGAGCCGGTGTTGACTAGAGCAGGTGGGGTGCAATTATTCTGGAAGTAAAAGAGTGTGTCACTTCCCCAAGACAGGCACGGGGGTTTCAGTGAACTGCTGTGTGCAACTGGCTGACACTACTGAACTTACTAAGAAGAGGTAGCGCTCCTGTGCTGATGTGTTCCGAGCTGCTAGTTTGAGGATTTGGCCTTCTTTTATGAGTTCATTTGAGGGATTTACAATGTCTTCTTCTTCTCCCAACATCTCATAAATCTCTAAGAGTTTCTTCAGGTTCTCCTGGGAAGTTAAAACAAAATACAGCAAGATCAAATATAAGAAGGTAATTTAAATTTAACTAAAATCTACATAATTTAATAGATACGGAGAGTAAGTTTTCATTTTGGTATAACATGCATCAATAAAGTGAATGCTAAGAAAAGAGGGGAATGGACTAGAGAGTTGGTAGGAATTGCTTTCTGCTGCTCACCTGTACCTGCTCATTTTGGTCTAAATCTACAATGGTCAGAGGCTATATACCAACTGCTGCCTAACCGGAAGCTTCCCATATCCTCTAAAGCCACTTACCATTTTCCTTATTGCACTATTAGAATGGCTTGCTGCTGTAGATATAATTTCAAGTGACTCTAAGTGGGAAAAAAGAAAAGTAAATAAATATTTTGTCTTTCCTGTGCTACTAGAGTAACATAGAAACAGAGATCAAAAACAATATATGTCTGTGATATGCAGTTTCCACAAGTTATCTGTTAGAATTGTATCTCCAATTGCAGGGTATTTACTTCCAAAATAGCATACGTGATGATCAGGCTCCCAGGCAATTTAATATATAACAGGCCTTAGAAATGAACTTGCATTTACAGTGTACATTACCAGGTTCGAGGCATTTGCCAGGGGTGATTTCATATAAACAGCACTCCCACACCATCTGCCTATGTGCTGTAGCTCAAAAATAGCCAATAGAAATTTCCAGGAAAAAAGCCAGAAGTTTGAATTTTATTATAGCACACAGTTAAAATTATTCTATAGTTAATCTCTAATTTCTAATTTCTGTTAATCTCTAATTTATAAATTAGACCATATCATAGGTATCTGTAGGGGAAAATATTACTCTACGTAGAGTTTGGTATTAGTAACAGTTAAAGGAGTACACGGAACATTTTGGAAAGTAGCTCCTGAAGAACCTGTCTACTAGTTGGCTAGTTCTTTCTTTTGTCACATGACAGAAATGAGGACGTTGTGTGACTTGACCCGAGATCATGTGACTCAAACTTCGGACACTTTTCCTACTAAACATCAACAGCTTTCTTTGGGAAAGCCTGCCGGCCTGATTCGGATGGAGAAAATCTGAGGGCTTTGCAGCCTGAGAGTGCTGGGAGGGAAAGGAAGGCTGTGGTGTGGTGTGGAGCTCCGGGGCTGAGGGTGAAGAACTGTGGGGCAGAGGCCTGTGCTGGGCATTCCTCGGGAGCACCTCCCAGGCCAATGTCCTGCAACAGCGGCTCCACTCCTTTGGGCCCACATTTTCCGTGTTCTTTGCATTGTTGAACAGAACATACTTTTGTTGCTTCATCTTCTACTTTCAGGACTCTAAAAGCCCAACTTCTAGGACTTCCTCAGCAAAGGGAAGCCAGGAAGAGTATCTTATGTCTATAACTTAGAGCAAGAATAAATCTTTAGATTCAGAATATTGAAATGGTGCTGTACACAGGATTTAAGTCATGCACTTGGCATGTCCTGGTAGCCATGGCTTGGCAGCTTCACACAAGGACCATCTCATCTCCCTCTGTAAGAACTGTCCCTTCCTAGAGGGCTGGCCTGCATCCTGGGGACGATGGTGAAGATGGACCCATTCACAGTCCCACTGAGAATGAGCCTGGCTTGGCCCAGTGCATTTTCTGCCTCTGGAGATGGAAATCTAGAGAGCCAGATAACAACGCAGAGAGGAACAGAAAAACCACTCCTCTGGGTGCATATTCCTGACTGTTGAAAAGCAATTTGAAGCCAGACTAGGAAAGTGATGGACGCCAACAGTAGCAGGAACAACATGGAGAAAATTTGCAGAAAGCCTGCCAGGCTGGCTGTTGTGTGGCTTCCCAAGAGGGAATCTTTAAGGAGATAACATGGTTACAAGTGAGAGGCCACCACCAAGCTATGTTCCCCGCTTTCCCCAGTATGTCTATGGGCCCACCAACAATGTCTTAGAGAGGAATAATGGCAGTATTTCAAAATCGGAGAGTTAACATTATTTTTGTTTTCATTTGGAAGTGGCCCCAGCCTGCGCGACTGATGCTATAAAAACAGCTTTCTATTCCTTTGTGGTTTTGCCGTGTGGAGTCCCATGCTTAATGGTAAGGAGGGATGAGGGAGGCAGTGTCCTTATGGCAGGGTCTGACTTGAGGAGTTTGTCTCCGCATCCCTGATGCTCTGAGCAGGTGATGTGTCCCACGTTCTGTGACCTGGTTGATTTGTAGGTTGGGCTCTGAAGACCCCCTTGTCTTTCTAAACGTGACTCCTCCTAAGGCAGGGCAAGAGGACATGGTCAGAGCATCTTTACATGTTCCAGGACCATGTGAGCACAGGCAGTTCTATGGATGACATACAGAATCCAGGATGGAGAAGAACAAAATGGTAGAGGCTGGGGCAACTGCCAAGAGAAATGTAGGAAGAGCTGTACCAGAAGCTCGGCCACTAACACCCAGCACTCGTGGGATAAAATAAGGGAGAGGCAGAGTGTCCCAGAAGTGTCAGGCTGGGAATAATCACAAGTCAAACACTCATGCAAACTTCAGAAGGGGCCGAGAGAGAGACGTTGCTGTGGTCACTACGTCATAGGCATGGTGGGAAAACATCCCAGAGATGGCCTGTGTTCTAGATGAGATTTGGGTCCTTACCTCAGAATAACACTGGCATAGGAAAGAACACAGAGGAGAAGCACGTTACACTGGTATTATCAGCACTGGCCAAATACTGAACCATGACTATTTCTTAATTGCTTTACTCATCTCTAATTTTTGAGAAGTTTAAAAAACTATACTAGAGAGGAGGTAAACATTTTGCTTATTTGTTTGGTTTAGTTAGACAGGATCTCACGATTTAGACCTAGCTAGCCTGGAACTCACAGAGATCCACCTGGCTCTGTCTGCCTAGTGCTGAGATTTAAAGCCACTTCATATGGTGCACCATGTACATATTAGAATGTGATATGCAAATCTCTGGGCTCAATCTTTAATAACATAAAAAACTAAAACTGCATGAGAAGCTAAAGAATTAATGAAACTCATTAATTAGGCTTAAAACCTTTTCATTCTAATCTAATAAAATAATTAAAGATGACCAACACAAATGGAATAAATTTTGGAGGAAAATGTTCCTAGACAATAAAGCACCTCACATCCTGTGTGTCTTGGGGAGTAAGGCTAACAGTTATATATGCATAGTAAATGTCTTCTCAGTTTCCTTGGTAGATATCAGCCACACCAATGGAAAGGCAACTGTATTACTGCTCCAAACATCTCTAACTTACAGTTTTAGAGCTCACAGTTGGTGATGAACATGAATCCAGAACAGGAAGTGCTGTGGGACAATGGTCTTGTACCCTGTAAAGATTTGTCACTTGTATCGTTTTAATAAAATGCTGATTGGCCAGTAGCCAGGCATGAAGTATAGGTGGGGCAACCAAGCAGGAAGTATAGGCTGAGTGACCAGAATAGGAGAATTCTGGGAAGAGGAAAGGTTCAGTCTGCAGTCGTCACCCAGATACAGAGGAAGCAAGATGAGAATCTCTCACTGATAAAAGGTACCAAGCCACATGGCTAACACAGACAAGAATAATGGATTTATGTATGATGTAAGAGTTAGTTAATAAGAAAGCCTGAGCTAATAGGTCAACCAGTTTATAATTAATGTAGGTGTCGGTGTGTTTCTTTGGGAATTGGACGACTGTAGGACCATTTGGCTATGTCATTCTGCTGCTGCTGAGGGAGAATAGAAGCATTTACTTTTTGCATCATTCCAGTCTGGGGACTCAGGGGACAGCTTCTTCAGGTAGTCCTTAAGGAGCATCTCATAGCGAGGGATGCGCTGAATAGGCTCCAGCATGTGGTGCTGCAGGGTTAAGCTTCCACAGATCTTCTGCCTCTGCAATCAGCAAGATTTTTGTTGTTAAATATTTTTATTACATTTATCCATTTGCTATATGTGCATGTGAGTATGGAGGTCAGGGACAACCTGTGGCACTCAGTTCAGTCTTTGTACCACCTGGGTCCTGGGACCAAAGTCAGGCCATCAGCCTCACTGAGCCATCTCACCAGCCCCTGTGATTAAGGTTCTTAAAGGAATAGTTAAAAATTAGGTAGACCAATATAAAACTGCAATGTAATAAAGAACTTTCATCAGGGAATTTTTTTAACTTAACATTTTTTTTTATTTTTTAAAAACAATTTTACATACCAATCAAAATTCCCCCTCCCTCCCCTCTTCCCACTCTCCCCCCATCTTCTCTCCACCCCATCCTATATCTACTCCTCAGAGAGGGTAAGGTCTCCTGTGGGGAATCAACAAGGTCCGTCACATCAAGTTGAGGCAGGACCAAGGCCCCCCTCCCTGCATCTAGGCTGAGCAAGGTATCCCTCTTTAGGGAATGGGCTCCAAAAGGAAAGGGGCCATATTTTCTACCAAATAAAGCTGACAGAGCTCTGGGAAGCCTTGAAAGGAGGAAGTAGCCTGGGTCTTTCCAGGCTAGCTAGAGAGTCCCATGAGGAGAGTAGGCAGAGAACTTGAAAGTCCCAAAGGGAGAGAGATAGGCCAGAAGTAGGTGAATCTCTGTGAGTTTGTGGCCAGCCTGGTCTATAAGAACTAGCTCCAGGACAGGCTCCAAAGCTACAGAGAAACCCTGCCTTGAAAAACCAAAAATAAATTTTACAAAACTTGTAGGTAAATGAATGGAGCTGGAAACAACCATTCTGAGTAAGGTAACCCAGACCCAGAAAGACATTGATGCACGTTTTCTCTCATTTCTGGATGTTAACTTTGAATATTTAGGTTTCTCTTCTTATTCTTCCCCCCTTTCTCTCCCTGTCCCCCTGACTTGAAAGTGTGTAGCCCTGTGAATGTTACCAGTCTCTGTGAGCTCATATGTCAGTCCTGTTGCGTCTCAGAGACACTGTCCCCTTCATGTTACCCACTCCCTCTAGATCTTACAATTTTTCCTCCCCCTCTTCCACATAGGTCCCTGAACTCTGAGAGAAGAGGTGTGATGAAGACATCCCACTTAGGACTGAGTGTTCCGAAACCTCTCACTTTCCACACATTGTCCAGTTTGGGGTTCCTCTGGTGTTGGCTCAACAAGGCAATGATCTATGTCATTGGGAGTCATTTTATTGCTATGTTCCCTTAGCATAAGAGTAGTACATGATTTTCTCCTAGGCCCATGGCCTATCTAGTCCCTGGTTCTCAGCCAGCCAAGCAGTGTAAGGTAGGGTTTCCATCTCACTGACTGGGACTTAAATCCAATCATAGAGTGGTTGGTTACTCCCACAATGTCTGTCCCACTACTGCACCAGTGTAACATGTAGTCAGGTCATGGTTATAAAATGCAGGGTTCGTGGTTGGGTTGTTGTTTACCTTTCTCCTCTGGTAGCACAGCATAACTCACAGCACCATGAACACTGGTTTGTATGGGTGAAGGCTCTAGTTAGGCATCAGCTCAACTTCTTTGTATTCAATGAGACATGGAACTACAATAGCCTGATTGTTTAAGGTTTCCCTGGGAGCCCTTTGGCCAAGAACTAAACGATGTGTGACCCATTTCTGGCACTAGAGAATGGACAGAGGGAGGTGATTTTACTCTCCTTCCCACCCTCCATTAGTATCCACCAGGATCACCCTCAGCCCTGTAACAACATGCTTCCAGCTGCTGGTCCTCCCACCTCAACCCACTGGAGACCCCAACTCTTGCCTCAGACCTAGAGTCCTAACAGCTCGTTCATCTCTGTCACTCCAGATTATTCTTTGTCTCACTGCAACCTACTTCCAGGTAGTCCTCCTCTCACCACACTTTCAGCTTCCTAGGGACCCTGCCTCTTAGTGTGGATCCCTCAACCCTTCAGTCTCTTCTCCTAAGCTATCCCAACTCCTCTCTGCCACACACTGACCTGTAGAAGTGCTATCTACCAGGGAACCCACAACCACCATATTTTTCTAAGATCCAGAAAGGGAACAAACACCAATGAATTGAACACCCACCCAACAAAAACAAGAGCAGGTATCAACACCCAGAGTCACTGCAGTCATCTTAATCTGTGATGCCTAGATAGCAGCCCAAAACACAGTCAGTAAGAGCCAGGGAATATGCCTTCACCACAGTCCTCTTCATCTGTGATGCCTAGACCCAACCTAAAATACAGTCAGTAACAGCCAGGGCAATATGCCCTCACCAGCACAAATCAATGACTTAAAGATGCAACTCAAAACCTTGATAAGACAAGAACAAACTAAATCCAAACCAAGTCCATGGTAAAAACAATAATAAAAATCAGTACAGAAATCAACAAAATAGAAACAATGAAAGGAATACAAAGAATCAACAGATATAAAAGCTCGTTCTTTGAAAAGATACAGAAAATTGACAGACCCTTCACCCGAGTAACCAAAAATGAAAAACAAAACAAAACCCAAACAAAACTTGAAGCGCCACAACTTCACAACGGCCATTCTAAATGTACTGAAGTGCCTTGAGATTTATAGACTTTTGATTTGGTTAATTTTGATGTGCAACATTTATTTTACTTATAAGTATTTTTCATAATAAGGCTTACAAAATTAAATAAATAACAAATATATGTATTTATAGTCCTTGTATCATCTTTTATCTTAAAAATATGGGACACTGTACAAAATCATTATAGCCTTATAGTATTGGGTTATAATTAAAAAGCACAGGGCTGGAGAGACGGCTCAGTGGTTAAGAGCATTGCCTGCTCTTCCAAAGGTCCTGAGTTCAACTCCCGGCAACCACATGGTGGCTCACAACCATCTGTAATGAGGTCTGGTGCCCTCTTCTGGCCTGCAGACATACACACAGACAGAATATTGTATACACAATAAATAAATAAATAAATAATAAATATTTTTTTAAAAAAAGCACATAGAACTGTAGTTTTAGATACTGTCCTGGTTGTTTCTTTGACCAACTTGACACAAGCTGGAGATATCTGAGAAGACGGAATCACAACCAAGAAAACGCCCAGCAGATCTGCCTGTAGACACATTTGAAAGACATTTTTTTCATTTACTGATGTGGGAGGGCTTGGCGGGCTCTGTGAGTGGTGCCACCCCAGGGCAGTTGGTCCTGAGGTGTATAAGAAAGCAGGCAGAGTGACGTGGAGAAGTTGGTAAATGGTTCCTCCAGGGCTCTGCTTTAGTTCCTGCCTTCATGTTCCTCCTTAATTAAGGTTCCTCAATGATGGGAAGTCACCTGAGAGCTGTAAGATGAAATAAACCCTTTCCTCCCCAAGCTGCTTATGGTCATGGTGTTTTGTCACAGCAATAGAAAGCTTCATCAGGACAAATAGAAATGACAAGAAGAGAACAGGGCTCAGAGTAAGGAAGAAAACTATACAGAAATCACATGTATCACTAAGATTAATGTTAGGAATATTGAAGCTGGCAAGAATAAATTAAGATGCATATTATTATTCTAAGAGCAACCAATAAAAAGTTCAATTATTTAAAAATAAAAGGAAACAAAATAGTGCCATAAAATCTATTCATATAACATAAAAGGCAGAAGTCAAGAGCCATAGAATTCCAGCCACAAAAATATTATGTGATGCATAGAATTCTATTTCATGAAGTCAAAGACTTCGTGATCTACAAGTTTGAATACCCAGTGGAGAATTAACAAAGATGATCATGGCATTATCAAAAACTATTATATAAGCTTGGCAAAATGGAGGCAAACCCACGTACAGATATAAAGTAACAAAAAAAATGAGGCTTAATTGCAATGTAGCCATTCCCTTTTTAGATTTCAACCACTGAAAGAAAGTGAATTAGGAAACTGGGAACTCATTTTATAAATAACTATTCATCTATTAATTTATTGAGACTCCATTTTACTAGGTAGCCAACACTGGCTTCAAACTTTCCATCCTGCTTCCCCAGCCTCCTAAGTGTGAGAATTACATGCATTAAGCCTAAATTTATTTAGACTTAAGTCTTAGTTATTGTAAGTCTTAGTTATTGTTCTATTGTTGTGAAGAGACCCCATGACCAAGGCAACTCCTATGAAAGAAAGCATTTAAATGGGGACTGGCTTACAGTTTCAGAGGCTTAGTCCATTATCATCATGGCAGGGAGCATGGCAGCAGGTGTGGCAGGTATGGCAGGAGTAGTTGAGAGCTACACCCTGATCTGCAGGCAGAGAGAGAGACACTGGGCTTGGCGTGGGCTTTTGAAACCTCAAAACCCGCCCCCATTAACACACTTCCTCCAACAAGGCCACACCTCCTAATCCTTCTAATCATTCAAAACAGCTCCACTCCCTGGTGACTAAGCATTCACACACAGGAGCCTATAGAGGTCATTCTCATTCAAACCACCACATCTCACTCCCTGGCCCCCATAGCCTTGTAGCCATACATAATGTAAAAACGCAGTCAGTTCAACTTCAGAAGTCCCCGAAGTCTATGACAGTCCCAGCCCTGCTTTAAAACCCACGGTCTCTTCTGTGACTCATGCAGTCTCTTAACTGTATCCCATTGTAAAATCAAAATCCAAAAGCAGATCACATACTTCCAACATACAATGACACAGAATATATATTACCATTCCACTGGAAAGGAAAGGGAGTAGAGTGAGGAAGTCCTGGACCAAAGCAAGACTTAAAACCAGCAGGGAAAATTTCAAATTCTGCATCTCCAAATCTGACGTCAAAGTGTCCTTCAGAACTCTAACTCCTTTCGGCTGACTGCAACACGCTTCTCACTCATGGGCTGGATCCACGCCTGATCTGCAGCTTTTCTTAACAGGTACCCCATGACTCTGACATCTCTAACATCACGAGGTCTACAACACAATCTAGGCTTTCTAGCAGCATTCCTTAGAGCTGTGAAGAAAGATTCCATAGTCCTTCTCTT